CATACGTCAGTGCGTGATTGATCTTATATTTTGGATCTAATATTTGCCAGTTCCTTTTTTTTTTTTTGCACGCGCAAACCTACCTAACGGGGCACTAGGAATAATATGAATGGGGAAAATTTAAAATGAGCCCAGTACACAGCGAACTTTTTATCCCGGTCTACGGCGACGGATCGGGCGAGAGGCTATTGAGATGTTGGACAGGTGCTGCCAAGAAACGATTTGGACCTCTCGACATGCAACAACTGCAGGTCGCCGTTGAAGGTTGAACTCCTGAACTGGAAATTAATGGAATATCATTAGCAGTCCACGATGTGTGTGTCCTGGTAACATCATAAGCATACGGTTCCTACAGCAGTTGCCTTGATATTCTTGGTATTTAGTGGTTCTTACTTCGATACTTTGATCGTATGCAACTCACAGCGTAATTCTTCAACTATACAGCATTCTACTTTCTTTGACTGACAGCGCATTGCCTCGTAGTCAGCGTGCTGATGATCCATACGTTCCTTTTTTTCCTGGATGGCGTTCCTCCCCACAAAAAAATTCGGAACGGTTTTATCCGTTTCGATCTTCCATTGCTGCTTGTTAAACATTAATATCCCGCCCAAACTAAAAATGATCCGGGTTTTGGAGGGACTGGGACTGAATTCATTGGCCACACAGGCAGTTAGAGAATCAAAACTGACAGAGATTATAATAATCTGCTTTTCGAAATATAAAAATTCACAAGAAAATAAGAAATTTAATGCAGCTGTTTCACTTTTTTACAAGTGCAATGTTCGCACTAGGCCTAATCAAACACTCTCGTAGCTTGATTCAAACTGGTTGATAAAGCAAGTGCTAAGAAAAGAACAGATACGGTTTTTTTACGTTACTGAAAATGGAATGCTCGGTCTTATTAGGTTTTATATCTAAAGCACCCAACCTGTTAACGGCTGCATCCCGTTTTTAAGACTCAGATGAAAGAAATCTTGTTAAAACTCAGGCAAAAATCCAACTTTCTGCTCCAGTTCATCTGATACTTCTGCTCAAAACCAGGGCGTAGCTCTTCGCAGAACGGAAGGAAAGGCGATCGAAAAAACCATTCCATAGCAAATGCCGTTTTTTTTGTGGGGGCAGATATTTTTTGCCCAGAAAAGATATCGGTGAGCCAGCAATCTGAAACGCATTTTGAGGTGCGGGTTAGCGAGCTTGTCAGTTGAATTAACCGGCCAGAATAGCGCAACAGACATACACCTACACATACATATACACACACAGCTCACTCAACTGCTTTTACGCAGCTGTTGCTGGAAGGATTGGAAGGTCCGGATGATTCTTCCAGATAGTGTAAATTTTTGCGAAAGCTTATTGAAAATGAAGTGTTTTGGACAACACATACATTTTGTGAACTGAGACCTGACATCTAATCGCAGTTGCTCAAGGCATGCCAATTTATTCTTCTAACGTTGTGTAACCGTTCGTTGCCGCAGGCGTTGCACCTCCAAGCACTTTCACTTTGTCAGGAAGCTCACGAGTTTTTTTGTGCCGTGCATTCGTTCATCTGTGTTTCGTCGCAGAATCCTAATTTGATGTGTTCTGCAAACATGACCACGCAAAGCTACGTTTTTTAATTATCAACAGGGCAATAGCTAATGTCAAGTTAGGGGCGAGAAAGCAATCTCAGCTTCGCAATGAAAAAACGTTTCAGCACTGCTACAAAAACACAGCAGCATGAAACAAGGAAATAGTGAGCAAATGAAACACCACAAATGAATATTTTCCAAAACGAGTGACGAATTTTTTTATGAAGACGCAGGAGGCATAACCAAATTGTCTGGAAGAAACGAAAGAAATGGAATTAATTGAATTGGACAGTATTAAATGCTATCAAAGAAAAGCAAAGTATGTCAAAAAAAGCGCCCAAACCGAACGATATTGATGAACTGTACAGAAAATTGAAAATTAATTCAAGGATGAGGCATAAATTGATCGGGAAACAAACAGTATTAAAAATAAAACGAACAACAAGCGATTCTGTGTGCGCCATCAGAATCATAAATGTGCGGATTAAGTAGAGGATGAATGCAAAAGAGTGGGGAAGAAATTAAGAAAAAACAATGATAGGAAGATATATAGTGAAAAGCCCCATTCCAGCAATTTTGAAGGCCAGCCATCTCCAGGTAAGAGGAACGTAAATCATTCAAAGCTCGAGCGCCCAGCTGCATCAAGATGACCAGTGCTGTCAAATCTTGAAGCTTCAGTGATAGTTCAATTCCAGCATATGCTTCTAAAATTTTCTGATAAGCACCCGAACCCTTCAGCTGCAAAATGGTAATTTATGACGCTGCTCTTGCTTGTTTCTTTAGTGGCTAGTAAAAATCCAGACTGCGACTGACTCACCAGGTGTGTCGATGCAATCGTGCGTTTTTGCATGATTCCCATTTTCTAGAAAGATTGCCCGTACCGCTGGGGTGCAACTGCAGTGCTGCAATATGATCATTTGCAGGGCCCGTCCCTAGGTAAAAGTTTATCTTTCGCTTATTGGCATGTACATGAAAAGCAAACATGTTTAGAAAAATATTGCTTCTTGTTCATTTTAGTTACAGAGTTATTTCGGTGCCAGCAGTGTTCAGAACAAAACATCCCGCTTAGGGCACATTCGAGACCGAGGCGTGCTTTAAGTTTCAAATTGAATTTCTGCGATCACACATAAGTATAGAATATTTTCAAAAGTTTCAGCTTCTTAGCATATTTGTTTGATAAATCGCTTTTGTTACACGAAATTTTTAATATATGGGAACTCGCTACACAGGCGTATGCCAAAACTCATTTAAACCTACATACTCATTTATAGAAAACAAATATCCTCATAAAGTTAAGACATTCCAATTGACTCATTTCCTGAATTGGCATTTCGCCAGTGATAACTTTGATGGATGCATACGTTAAATCTGAATTTAAAAGCTTTAGCCTACATAAGGACATAGAATGTTTCCGTGGAATTTCAACCTTCTACCTTTTCTGGTTTCCGAGATTGCTTTTTCGCCAGAAAAATTTGCATGTTTTTTGAGACGACTGTGCTCGGATCCAGGCGTATGCAAATAATAATATTAAAATGGGTTCAGGCGTATACTCCCGGAGTTCCAGTTTCTTAGCTTTTCTGGTCATCCAGTTTAAAATGGTGGCGAAACTGCGAGCACACAGGCATACACGCACAGCCTTTCGCCAACCTGCGCTTTTGCATTTGCATAATATGCAAAAGCGCATTAAAAAATTGATGGAAGTAAATTTAAATAAACTGTTGGGACGAAGTTTATTTAAGTAAATGTTGGCAGTCAAGACAATTTTAAAGCACAAAATATGCTGCTGATGTTGTTGTTGTGTGCTACTGCTGCTGTGGTTGAATGTTTGCCAGGCAGATATTGTTTGTCAAACTGTATGTTCGTCGACATGAACTCACAGCATTGACTTATTGCTCTTGTCGAAGATACACACGCAAAAACACACTGTTTCGGGATACTTTCATTTTGGGCGCGTGTCATAAATGGAATGCTTCAGCAAGTGTCTGATGACTGTCGCAAATGTTTTATTTCACAAACAAGACAGTACAATTAGCTGAAGCTTGAAAGCGCACAGCGAAAAGTCAAGAAATTTCCCTGATCAAAAAAGACTTGGTGCACATTGAAATGCAGATTAGGCGACTGTCAAATGGTTGGAAGTCCAATTGGCGCCGTGGATTTACGCGCCGGCGCTGCCAGCTCTTGTGCTGTAGTTGTCGCCACGTCCGTATCTGCGAGCTTTGTTATCGTGGTGCCAGCAGATGTCGTTGACTGAAATATTGTACCGCTTGCTTTGAAGTTAATTTAGCTCATGCTCCCAGCAACAGTTCTGCTGCGTGGGAACACATTGCGCCCGGAGACTCGCTCGCAGTCAGTGAATTAAGTTATCAAAACGCTTCTGTCAGCTTCACAGCTTTCGTTCCGGCAATCAGCTTCATGACTTTTGTAAATCTGGAAATCGAAATATGCGGGCAGATACGAACACATGCACACATAAACAGACACAAGCAATCTTTTGACGATATGTGCTCTCGCATTTTTTTAATGATGCATAAGAGCAAAAAACTTGTATAAAGTAACAGGCCGCTGGTACGATTGACATCTACAAAAGGAAAGCAACTAGGCACATGTTTTCGTACGCAGCTCATAACAAGAAGAAACAAAAATATTGCACTTTAGAGTGAAACAGTATTGAGTGAATGAAAACCTTATTGTCCCTCAACAGGGAAAAATACTGATAAGTATTTGACAAGGCGCAAAGAAGTGCGGGTACAGCGACCAAGGCATGCACCGTTCCCAGTGAGATCACCAAAACAATTGCTTTTGTAAAAACCTGAAAGGCAGGAAAAAATATTTTTACTTGCTGCTTACAAAATAAATTTCTCTGCGATTCATTTAAAAGTTGAGCCTCTTCGGCGTGCAAATCGCTTGCTACTAGCCTGCTAAAAACGCCTGCTCCGGTTTGCACCACTCGCACCTTCTGTAGTTAGTAATGCCAGGTCCGATTCATAATTCCACAAAAGCCAATGCAAATGAAAACACAAAGCACCATTAAAAAAAAAAAAAAAAAAACAGGCGTCTGCTCGCATCGGGAGTTCGGCGTGCTTATGCATTTTTGCAATGAGCCAGCGTGATACTTATAGCATACAAATACATTTCTACGCACAGGAGTTCCTCTCGATTTCCATTTAACTGATTCAGTGCTTGAAAGACCTCGATTCATAAAATTACCCATGTTCGGGCATACGGTCGAAAGTCAGACGCAGTAGGCTTAAAGGTTAATTTCCGGTCATCCGCCGCTTGGCTACGCTACTGCACTGACTGGAATCATAAACGAATACATACTTCACTCATGTAACACGGCACCAGTAGAAGAACGAGTACGAAGATTATTGTTGAGAGGCTGCACTGTAGAAGTGGAAAACCAATGGCAGTGAAAGAATGCTCGAGTCGCTCTTGGGCTGAGGTCAGATTTGGATTCAAACCAGTTCGATGATAGTGGTAGGTGATATGAGCTGGAAAATCAACAGACAGGCCAACGGACATGATAATTGTCGTCATGGAAACCGGATCTAGATCAACATCCCAAAGAGTCAAGAAACCGAACACTCCTGAAAAACCGAACGGTCCTGTGATCAAATTAACTAAGTGCAAGCTTTTTTTATCCCCCAGCCGGAAAGCGCCAATCTTCTCTCTCTTGACAGCCACAAAATATCAAAAAACATTGTATTCTTTTGAGTTCTCAGCCAAAATTGTTGCTTTTAAGAAGCAACAAAAACAGATCCGATGGCTCCGAACCGGAAAAAAATTGCTGCCAGTTTTAAAGTTATCCACTGTAACAAAATCTGATCTCAAGTTTTCAAAAATGTCTACAATTTTGTTTTTATGCTCGTCACTTCAGCTTTTCGAAATTTCGAACGAGATAGGGCACACAGCCCACTCTTCTGATAAATGCAAGAAGAGTTGTAGTTTTAGTATCCAAAGATGCTTGGCCTTTACTGCACTGTCGGCCCCTGGTTGGGCTAACACCAGTTCTACCACCAAGTTTAACTGAACAAAATACAACAATGTCTCCTAGCATGCTGAAACTACCAGAGTTAGAACGTCACAGTGCTTCGCGATACTGCCAAGTCTCTTACTTCTCCCACACTATGATGAAATGTCCGGCCGAAATTTTTCTTCACCAGAAAATGAAAAACGCGCCAGGAATGCGGAGGCATTAATACGGTTCGTTGAATTTTATGGTTGCGCTATTACAAATACTATTCACTCGTTATCATGGCTGTCGATTGCTCGTTTTTTTGCAGATTACCTAAGAAAAAGCTGGCAGTGGCTTGAGCCATAGCAATGTGACCTACAAGATGGTTATTTGCAGGGTTGATTTTTGACAGCAGCGACAACGGGCAAAAGAGTCCAGAACAAGGATGATTTCAGGATGAATATAGCACACTGCCTCCATAAAGCTTTGAGCCGCTACAGAAACACATACTGTGCTTATAATACATTGAATAAGTTACCTATACAAACTGAGGTAATTGAAGTAACCGCTATTAATGCCGTGAAAATATTAGCCATGAAAATATAGCACACCACGGCCATACACGCCAAACTCACAAACAATGCCTGAAGCGTCGTCGGTAACAATGTTTCGATCTGGTCCGTAAATAAAGCTTCGTCCTCATACACTGATGCTCCAATATCCTGCAAATTTAAAGCACTAGTTCGATAAAAGAGGTGCCGCCGTCTAAGCGAAATGCTTTTAGCGGCGACGCGACTGGCGCAAAATACATGCTTTTCTAATTCAAATGATAAATAGAAAGCAGACTAGAAGTGATTGGAGTGTTGTATGTCTTAGTACTAAGTTTTATCATCGGTGCACATAAACGAATGAATTACTTTATTTTACAGTAAATCAAAGAATATTTTGATCTGTTTTGATGGGTTTTGAATTCTTGAATTCTTATGCTCAGACTGGAGAGCACTGAGAAAGAAGTGGGATGTCCTGGCAAAATTCGAAAATTTTCAGAGCTAAGCCAAAAAACCAATTTTCTAAATTTTGAGAAGTGGTGGTCGGTCATTGTGCTAATAAAATTCGTGGAAGCCTGTCGGATCAAACAACTCAAAAAAATGTAAACGTCGTTTTTGCACGCTGCCCTCGCAGATAACAATTAAAAAATCGATACCTCGCGCTCTGGTGTTTCGCAAGAAGTTTGAAATCACTCAAAATATGAACTAGCTTGTACCATCGACTGACTAATTTTGCTCAACGCGATGGTGCGACACAGTTTGTAAGCAAAAGCGCCTCTATGCAGCGCACCATAATCAGTGCTTCGAATTTGCCAATTTGAAATGACGGTTAGTGTGGGAAGATGCAAAAAATGCTTACTTTGTAACGATCAACAATTGCTCGCCATGCTTTGAGCATGTGCTGCCGCTGAGTCCAATCCGATTGATTAGCGCCACCGTATACAATCGTCACATAAAACGCTTTGAAACTGAAACACTGGCTTTTGGTAATCCCCTGTCTTGAAGCTATGCCCTCAATACAGTGTTAGCAGTAACCCAGAGGAGAAGCAGAAACAGCTGAATGTTGTCATGCAGAATCGCTCAAAGATTCGTTCACTCGCTTTGATGATAAAATGATACTGAAATATGCCAGGGGGTTAAACTCGCCATCAGTCTGCTTGTAAACAACTCCCAAAAGTGGGAGCAGTCGACAGTGCTGTTTTCACTTGCTACTGTTGGAATTCTTGTGCCTCCGCCTTTCATAGAAAGTGAATACGAAAGGGATTTTGACTTCCAGTTTTGTAGATTAACGGATTATACGAAAAATGTGAACTTTTAGCAGCAAATTTTGAAAACCGAACAGAAAAATATAGCCAGAAGTTCTAAATCTAATACACAACTGCTTAAAAAACTGATCCAGCCATTGCCAGAAATCAAACACACAGTTAAGCATTCAAAAAGACAAATAGAAAAAGCAAGATAATCTCCATTTTCAGCTTTTAAAACTGAAAGAAGTTACCGGTTTGTCTGGTTGTCAAATTTCATAAAACCACCCCACGATTCGTATTCAGGCCATTCCAGAAATTTTTTCAGATCGCTCGATGTATAATCATCGTCCGCACCAACACCAGCTTCTTCATCCTTCGTTTCCAAATATACTTCATAATCACGAAGCCAGAAATGAGTAAATCTAGGTCCTTTGCACTCCGGCATTGCTTCAAACTCTGCCACCATGTTTTTCATTCGGTTCAGCATTGTTGAGTTGCTTAGATCACCTGGCCGGGTGACAAATATTGTTACGAATGTATATGATGGCATGATGATTTTACGGTGTATTTCGCTCACCTGAATTACTTTATAATATGAATAAAAACACGAGAGTGGCACTTGTAATTATCTCTTTCGTAACATTGCTTATGCCCATAAAAGTAGATAGCTATCCTCCATAGGTTGTTGGTGTGATCATGCTTTTTCGCAAAATTTCGTTTTTTGAATAGTTTCAGTCATAAATATAGGCACAATCTGGCACATTGCTGAGCTCTTGATTTGGACACAAACGTTCATGAAAGCAATTATTTTTTCTAAAAAAAGGCAGCACGGTTCGTTGTTGATTCTGTTTTTTTAGAAAAAAGATTCACACTGCAGTGCAGTAATAAACCTACTTCATTCATCGGTGAGTCATGCAAAAATAATTTTTCTGGAAATAGACGACCTTTGGCCACAAGGGCACCACTAATACTAGCTTTCCAGTAAGCCAGCAACAGTATAAACACAATAGTTGTCGTGAAACCACTTGAGAGCCACCTGCAGTAACTACGCAAAAATAGTGCAGCCTGAAAGGACGAATGATAAAGTACAGGTTTTTTTT